GGCGCTGATTTGCGTGCTCTGTGCACAGAAGCCGCGCTCAATGCAGTGCAGCGCCATTACCCTCAGATTTACAACTCGAACGAAAAACTCGCTATTGATCCAAGAAAGATTGAGGTCACGCCCAAGGACTTCATGATTTCCCTCAAAAAGATGACACCCTCCTCAGAGCGATCGGCGTCGTCTGGCGCTGCCCCACTACCGCCCAGTGTGGCGCCTCTGCTTCAGTCTCAGTTGGACCAGATCAGCCAGCTCTTAGGGGAGATACTGCCACAACGGAAGAGACTCACAGCTTTGGAAGAGGCTCAATTCGAAGACACTGCCGACGGTCACAGTTTCGGTCGGGAGAAAATGCAACAAACTTTCGAGACCACCAGAGTCTTTCGTCCTAGATTGCTGATCCATGGCAAGCTGGGCATGGGGCAGCAATATGTCGCTTCTGCACTGCTCAATCACTTTGAAGGCCTCCACGTTCAGGCCTTCGATATTCCGACATTATTCAGCGATACCGCGAGTTCACCCGAGGCCACGGTCATCCGGCTGTTCTCTGAAATAAAAATGCATAAACCGAGCGTCATTTACATTCCCAATGTGCAGGAATGGTACAACACCGTGGGCCAGGCCGTGATATCGACTTTCGTGGGTCTTTTGAGATCCATCAAACCCACTGATCCTGTTCTTTTACTTGGATTTGCCGAGGGTGACTATGATGACATGGATGATAACATGCGCCGCGAGTTCTTTGGCTACTCGAAGAAGAACCAGTTCCAGCTGAGAGAGCCTAATCTTGAAGAAAGGTCTGAATTCTTCCGCAGCATCAAGGATTACATTAGCACGGCTCCAGATGATTTCCCCGATCCAGAGCACCGAAAGAAGCGTGAACTGGAAAAGCTTGCCGTGGCACCGCCTGAGCCAGAGAAGCCGAAACCTCCGCCAACCAAGGAGGAGCTCAAGGCACAAAAGAGGCGTGACCGTCAAACTCTGAACATGCTCAAGATCCGATTACAGCCCATCATGGACCAAATCAGGACCAAATACAAGAAATTCCGGACCGGCGTGATCGATGAAAGCCACATTCGCTACCTCTACGACGAAGCTGATCCAGGCACTGTAACGTCGGATCTGCACACTGAAATTCTGGCCAGAGCTTCCTACCGGCCTTTCGAGATTGGGAAGGACGCCCATGGTGTTCCCGGCCTGATAGATCAGTCTAATGGAAACTTCTATTACAACCTGGACTCTGTGACAATCGAGAAACGCCTGAGCAATGGGTACTACAAGCGACCGAAAGATTTTCTGGCAGATATCAAACGCTTGGCTAAAGATGCAAAGGCCATTGGTGATGAAGATCGACTGCTCAAGGCCAATGAGCTGTTGGCGAACGTCGAGGTCGACATTGGATCCATGGAAGTCAACGAACCTGCGCTGGCCGCGGAATGTGAACGTGTTTACCAACGAGAATTGGAACGGGAACGAGAGGCTCTAGAGAAAGCGGAGCAAAGCAAAATGCCTCCGCCTCCCAATGTGACCAATATTGCTCAGGGTTCGGGAACAACGACCACAAATGACACAGGCCCCATTCTGCTAGGCGAGCCCATGCATCGCCGCAATGACTTTGCTCAGCGGCTCGCTGCGACATCCACTCAAGCCAAGTCAACCGAATCCATTGTTACGAACGGCATACATCCCAGTCAAAACCACTCAGGACATTTGACAAATGGGTCGCACGCAAATGGCCACGAAATAGATGTGGAAGGCGACACTTTTATGGGAGGTGGAGACTCGCATCCCTCGTCTCACAACAAGAGCAACGACACGCAGCAGACGAACACGACTAGCTCCTACGGTGCGCGTGCCTCTGCCCAAACAAGACCGTGGAGTGCATACACCGCACCCTCCCAACAGCTTATGAAGGAATCAGGACTGTCCGCGCCGCCCTCCCAGACTGGACCCTTCACTCCTATGCCTCAGGGAAGCCAGCCAGGGGAGTTCCAGAACGATGCTAGCACAACTCAATCGCCCAACGAGAAGAAGCCGTCCTCCAATAATACGCAGCAAGAGATTCACCAGGATTCGGGCCCTGATCTCTATCCATTCGACGAGAGACGATCTGCTGGGGGCAGTCAGATTCCGTCCACGCAAGGTATGTACACACGACCCTCACTTGATATTGCCCTCTTCCCTGTGAACTGTTCCGTTACCCGCGATCCTTTCTAATGTACGAGAATCTAACATTGAACGTGGCGTTAGGGCAAAACTCACAATCGCAAGTGGCTATAGGTGCCCGTCCTTCTTCACCGCAAGGGGCGAACCAAGACTCCAACTCACCGCCTTCCATGATCATGCCTCCCCCTATTGAGGCGACGTCACAGCGACATTCCAACGCCAGCCGCATCGATGACCTGCTGAATCCCTCTTCATCTCCACGTCCGACGTCGCCACCTTCACCGACTTCTCGCCCCAATTTGATCCAAGTCGAGGAGCATGCGCTTGAAAATCTACATACTGAAATCGCGGATCAGACTAGCGGTCTGTCCGTCGAACAACTGGAGCAAGTGAACAGCGTATTGATGGATACGATCTGGAAGACGAGAAGTGAGTGGGACCGAAACAAGGTCAAACAGAGTGTGGCAGAGGCTTTCAATGAGGTTATGGAGGACATGGCCGGTGCCGGACAGCAGTTTGGGGACGGCAGTTGGGGCCGGAAGGCACAGGTCTGATCTTTGGGGGAATCATAAAGGACGACGGGCCCAAAAAGGTGGTATATGTTGGAAAGATATAAGAAGATCAACAGCGGGCTTGAAGAGACAAAAACAAAAAGGCTCACTCCCCCACGTTCGGAGAAAAAATTGGACGGCTCGTTTTGCATCAAAGATGTGTGCGCCTGTTTGTGATGTATGTGTGTACATGCAAAGAATCAAAAGAACAGAAGAGAAGAAGAGATGAAGAGCGTAATCAATGTTGGCGCCAAACAGTAGCCATCAAGGCTTTTTATGCGCGCTCTCCCTCTGCCTCTCTCACTCTGATTTTATCTGGTTCGTAAAGCGTGTAAGCACCATTACTGTCACTATCACCATTAGGATCTCAGGACCAGAGGGTCCAGTACTGGGAGTGGAAGAGGAAGAGGAAACTTCCAGGGAAAAGGCCCTAGAAAGGTTCTGTAAAGGCTCTGGAAAGTCTTCGTTGGAGAAATCTATGTGTTTTTACACGGTCTATGTATATGCCTTTTGGTTCGTTCCGGCTCTTTAGGCATCAGGGCCCCAAAACATGTCAAGCAAGTATTAGCAGTCGCAAGTGACGCCGTCTACCCGGTCCAAGCTCCATATTCGTACACGTCCCCCTGACCAAGGTCATTCATTCATCGCGTCTTCGTCTTCGACTTGGTCTCCTCCCCCTTCGGCGCAGGCGCAGGCAAGGCGTACAGTGCTCCGCCCACAAACACTATCGTCGCGCCCATCACCACGCCCGTGGGGAGTTTGTTGCCAAACAGCCAGATGCTCAGGACAAGGCTGACGAGTTTCCTGATGTTGAGGACGATCGAGACCGTGAGGGAGGACGACTGCGCCGAGAGCCGGTTCACGCCTATAATGCAGAGGAGTTGCGTCGCGGCGTTGAGCAAGAGTAACAGGAGCGGGCGGGGGAGAGCAGAAGCTGGGTTATCAAGCCAGGAAGACGGAGATGTGGGTGTCTCCATCTTTGACGGATCGCCGCCGATGTCGTGGCCTGGGACGGCCAGGAGATTCACGAATTCGAAAAAGAGCGGCCGGAGTTGACTCACAAAGTATGGCAACGAGATGGTGTGGCTGTAGAAGAGCGTCTCGGCAGTGATGTCCCCTGATCGGCCGTGCGTGGCATACATGTCGTCGGCGAACAGGCCCATACACGCTGAGAGGACGAGTGCAGAGGCGAGAAGCACGAAACCCGGGGCTTGAGACGAAAACGCCGGCAGTTTGGAGGACAGAGACGCCGCCTCCGGCGTCGAACGGTAATCGTCCAACTCTTCGACTGCCGCCCCGATATCAACCTGCTTGGACCACGTATCCGAAAACGCAGCCAACACCACCCCGCCGAAAAGTAGCATGACCGCCACCACCTTCTGCGCAGAGTACCGGCGTCCCTTCCAAAACCTCCCCGCAAGCATGGTGGTGACGGGGCCCGCACTCCTCAGTATGATGTGTAAGGGAATACTGATGCGGTATTTAAAGGCCTTGTTATTCAAAATGTTGATGGTCAGGAAGTAGGCCGTGTAGATCAGCCATTTGCGGATCGGGATGTTTCGTTCTTTGAGGTAGAGGTTCCGCAAGCCCCGGCGGGGGGAGAAGTGTCGCGGTAGGGTGAATAGGGCAACGAGGAGGAATTGAAACGCTGTGATCAGAGAACCGGACGAGGGGGAGGCATGGATGATGGATTCGAGAGTATAGACATTGGAGCAGCAGCCGCCGAATATGAGCATGAGGGTCGGAGCCCAGATTTGGAGGATCGACGGTAATGCGCTTACTGAGGTCGATGTCGATGCGGTGCTGGATGGTGAGGGCGCGGGCTTTGCCGCAGGAGAAGTCGCTGCTCCATTCTGGACATGCTTCTTGTCCACGGCATGATGGTTCTCGTCGTGCTTGACCCTCTGGCGAGTGCCTGTCGAGTCGACCCGAGCAGTCATGGCTTGACCATACAAGAGACGGACGAAGCTTGTGTGTCGCGGACAATTTTCTTGAGTCTCCGGGTCATCATTGGAAATCGCGAACTCACGTGCCGCTTTTAAAGTGACCTGCAAGGTACTGAGTAACCCCCCTGCCCCCTCAAGCTCAGCCTTGTCTCGCTAGCTCGGATAATCCATTCTCCGGATTCCCGATTGATCCGCTCAGCCTCACATCCCCGCCTCTTTCCTGTGCAACTTCTTAGTCCAATGTGTGCATTCGGTGGAAAAGCAGCATGAAGAGATACCAGCTGTTTATTCGACATTGCTGCCTCGAGAGAAGAGAACTGTGTTGAGACTAGGCAGTAACATGGCCGCGGACAGCGCAGGACCTGCATCAATTTCCCCGATCCGGGATTACGAATCGGAAACCACGCATGGCAATGAGCGGCCGGCAAAGAGACAGAAGGTTGCTGCAGCATGTGATCAATGCAGGGAGAAGAAGATCAAATGCGACGGGCGGAAACCACTGTGTCGGCCTTGCGAGCGAAGACACGGCGCAACAGCTCATTGTGGCTGGGGATTGAGGAAAACGCGCAGTATCGGGGCCTCCAAACTCGAGATTATGCGCCTGCAGTCCCGGATCGATGAACTGGAAAGGTCTGGTCGACAATCGAACCAAACTAGAAGCATCGCCCGATCATCTACGCCTCCATTGACTTCGGATGGGAACCACGATAGCGACGCCAATGCGATGATGGGACTGTTGGGAGAAGGCAAACCTGGTGGAGGTGGCGTGGTTGAAGATTCGAGCGCTGCGAGCTTCATGAATCGTATCAAAGCCGCTCTAGATCAACAACCCACCCCAAATTCCGCTTCGCAAGTGTCATCAACCGTCTCACCGGTAGCGACGGCTTCACCCCGAAGAAGACGGTTCAAAACTCCTGACTATGTCCTTCCTCCCAGACACCAAGCAGACCACCTGTTGGAGGTATATTGGAGGATCGTTGATGCCCTTTACCCTTTCGTTGATAAGGATGATTTCATGGACAAATACCAAACTCTCTGGACTGGAAATCCTTCAATGGACGACGAGGTCTGCTTCATATGTCTTCTCAACGCCATCTTTGCGATTGCCTGCATTTTGGACTCATCCATCCAACCCCAAGATCGTATCAGTTCCGGTGAGGTCTTTTACAAACGCGCCGTGGCACATTTCGACCTCGAGTTCTTGCAGTTCCGCTCGGTGCACACTGTCCAGTGCTTTCTTCTGCTCGCACAGTACCTCCAGAGCACCAGCGAGCCGCAGCAGTGCTGGCTGTTTACCAGCTTGGCCATCAGGATCGCTCAAAGCCTTGGGCTCGACCTGCCCTCCACCAGTGCCCAGACTCCCAATGGCACGCCAAATGACTTCCTCCGAAAAGTCTGGCACGGCTGCGTTCTGATGGACCGAACGCTGTCCATGACCCTCGGTCGTCCCGGAATCATCACTCCCCAAGCTGCGGCTTCAGTGCCTAGACCTCATCCTCATCCTGGCTCCAGGGAATGCTCCTGCCACAGAGACCTTTGCGTGTTCGAACCGTCGGCTCCTGACCTCCATTTCTTCATCGAATCTCTTCAGCTATATGAAAACATGAGCGAGACGCTTGCAGCACTTTACAACCCAACATCCGTAGACGCGCCTGGCCCCGAAGACAGCTATTCTCCGTATTTCGGCGGCAGCACGGGCGCAAAAGCAGCTGGGACGGTGCTGGAGATGGACAGCAAGTACTGGATCTGGAAAAGACGTCTGCCCCTCCACCTGCAATACCCCCCGGACTCGTCGTTCGGGTGCAGGAACATAATCCACGACCGCCAGGCAAAGGTGCTTTACCTCCGAGACTGTCATATTCGGACGCTACTCTTCCGGCCAGTCCTGTCTCGCTTCTGCACGGCAAGCCAGAATGACCAAGAGTTCTCCGCCAGCGAAGATGGCCTCGCGCGCAAGCTCGCACTGCAGTGCTCAATCATGTGCGTGAAGAGTGCGTTGGATACTGTCGACTTGTTCGGTAGAGTCCACGCAGAATGCCGCCTGGAGCTCCTCGACGACTTACTACCCGCTTGGTGGTACAGCATCTTCTACCTGTACACCGCAGCGACTGTCCTTGTCGCCGCTCGACTCAACCCGGCCGTCGAAGCCGGTGCGGGTGGAGAAGAGGTGATTATGAGCGCCGCCCGTACTGCGACGGCCGCGCTGCAACGGTACGGCAGTTTTGGCAAACACGCCAAACGCTGCGCCGCGGCCATAGCGTTACTTTTCGATCAGATCCCGCCACGACGCGAGCCACTCCCTGGAGCTGAGGTCCAGGCATCGAATGAGAACAGGGTGACCGGTGTGACGCGAAAACAGCACGGTGGCATTGACGGGAATGGGAATATACAACGGTCAAGTGTCTTACCTGCAGGCGGCGACATTATCATCAACGGAGACCCCTCGCGCTGGACCTTCAACCATGACCAAACACATCATGATAGTGGTCCCAGGACGACAGGTCCCACCACTCGCTCTGCCAGAGTCAGCGCCAAAGCCAATGGCCACTTTGCAGCAGCACCAACGCTCTCAAGCAGCTCTGTAACAGCCACAGCCACAGCCACAACGACGGCACCGGCACCAGCACCAGCATCAGTCCCAGACTCTATGCCATTCATGCTGACGAGTACCCACGACATCAACGACACTGGCATATTCGAAGCCCACCACCACCACGACCACGAAACCGCCGCTGTGATGACCGACTTTGATCACGATTTCGATCTCAACCTCCACCTCGATCTGGGTGGCGACATGTCCTGGCTGAGTAGCATCCCTTTTGATCTGTATGGGTAGCCTGTGACAAGTGACCTACCTACAGCACCTCCCGCATCCCGTTTACTCACGTACACATGTATTTATCCTCGGGTCTATACCTATACTATGACGAAGGAATATCAAGTAATATAGTATATATAATATATGTACCTACAGTAGCCTGGGACCTACTGTAGGCTAGACACTTACATGGCTCGATGGGTTGTTTCAATCGGAGTGTAGACGTCTCTCGCTATATGCTGTCTTTGTGTGTGCGTCTCCATACCTACCTACCTACCTACCTCCCACCTCTTAACCAGCAGTGGGTTGGCCAGGACTAGACAGATTTCTTTCTAGAGAACCGGTGGAGGTGTAGAGAGAGCAGCGCAGCAGAGCAGAGAAGAGCAGAGTAATACTTATACCAGGCACTAGGCACCAGGGAACTATTGACCAGCACTCTAAAGCGTCTATGCCTCTCTTGTCTTCTCATCTCTGATCTAAATCAGAAGCTCACGGGTTTTTTACTTGCCTCCTCCAGCACGACACATAGGCAGAGAGCATGAATGAATTCTTGTCTCTCCCTCTCGATGGCCCTCCTCTTGTTGGGAAAGGACAACTGTTCGATAGCCACACACAATCCGTGTCTCCGTGCATCCGTCCGTCCTCAGGCGCCATGCCTCTTGCACCTCTCTCTAGTCTAGAAAACTTTTGCGTCTGTTGTAGACTTTTTGGGTTCTGTGTCACAGTTGCTGTCCGGATGATACAATTGCAGGCAGCCCACGTCAAACCTAACCAATTCTCGCTCCCCCGTTGTGTAGTGTATGAATCGACTTTCCGTTTTATTACATCATCCTCAAACCAGCAAATTCCCTCCAACTCCTGACCTCTGGGGGAATTCCTTCCTGTCGAGGAAGTTTCGCATTCATGCATTGAGCAAAGAGCAATGCAGTCTGTTGGTTTGGAATTAGTCAATCATCACACGATTCCAAGGCCGGGGTCGTCCATACCTTGGGTTCCATGAACAGAGGGACGCCAAAGTCCACGGCGTTCCTTCTCATCACATAATCCTCGTCCACGAGCGTCTTGCCTCGAGTCTTTGCCAGGTTGAAAACCCCCCTGATGTCGTACTTCTGAAACACTTGTCGTAGCGCGTTCTTGTCCGTGGTCGGGAACTCAATCACCTCGATCGATGCGCCGGACCTCTCCAAATGCTCCTTGACATTCTGGTTTGCCGCATAGAACTTGTAGCCAAGGGGTTGAAGATACTCAACAATCTTGGGGAGCTCTGGAAGCTCGGTGGATCCACCAAGCAGGATTCCCTCGCCAGGCTCAGGCATACGGAAGTTCATGGTTGACTGGAGAGATGCCCAGTACGCCTCGATCAGGTCCTTTCCAAAGCACGCAATCTCACCAGTACTGCTCATCTCAACACCCAGGAAGGGGTCAGCACCCGCCAGCCTAGTCCACGAGAATTGTGGAACTTTGGTAGCCAAGTAGTCACGCTTCTCGGCCATGAGGTCTTGGGGTTCGGGGACATCCTGATCAACCAATGCTTTGGTCGCAACATCAATAAAGTTGGTCCCAAGCACTTTACTAACAAAAGGGAATGACCGTGAAGCACGAAGATTGCATTCAATGACCTTGAGAGCAGGTTCTTCGCCGGGGGCATCTGCCTTGATGATTTGCATGTTGAATGGCCCGGTAATGTTCCAGGCCTTGGCGACCTTTTGCGCAATCTCCTTGACACGAGCCATCACCTTCTCGTCAAGATTGGCCGGAGGCAGAACTAGAGTGGCGTCTCCGGAGTGAACACCTGCGGGTTCGACGTGTTCAGACACAGCGTGCAGAATGAGTTCTCCTTTTGATGCGACAGCATCCACGTCTATTTCTTGAGCACCCTCGATGAATTTAGTAATCACCACGGGATGGTCGGGGGAGACCGCCGAGGCCGATTCCAACTTGTCCTTCAGCTCTTCGTGCGTGTAGATGACGGACATGGCAGCACCGGATAGAACATACGACGGTCGGACGAGGACAGGATAACCCACAGAGTCAGCAAAGGACTCGGCATCTGCAACCGAAGTCAACTCTTTCCACGCGGGTTGATCCACCCCGATCGAGTCGAGGATTTGCGAGAACTTGTGGCGATCTTCGGCCTTGTCGATATCAATGGGATTAGTGCCAAGCACGTGCGCCTTGCCTTCTTCTTGTAGCCTCAGCGCGATATTCTGCGGAAGTTGACCTCCCACGCTGACAACCACGCCCGAAGCATTCTCGAGTTCGTAGATATCCATCACCCGTTCATACGACAACTCTTCAAAGTACAGCTTGTCGGCAGTGTCGAAATCAGTGCTAAATGTCTCCGGGTTGTACTGACGTAGAAAAACAGTTAGTATAAGCCTTTTGTAAAAGAAATACAAGAGAAAAAAAGAAAGGAAAGAAAAGACCAAGTGCCCAGAACGCGGCGGCGGCGAAGACACGACAACAACAGCAGCAGCAGCAGCCACAGTTTTATGATGTCTGTCAGACAGTTGATGCCGAGTCAAGTTACCCTTGTTGTGGAAACCAAGGTTGCATGGAGAGCATCTGAAAGGGTTACTCGATTCCTTGAGTTTTCGCTTGTGTTTGGCAGTCTTTTCATGGTCCTGCAATGAATGTTTGGCGCCAAAGGAGATATCACAGCGGGTACAATAGCAAGTCTTTTCTTTCAGAGTCTTTTCGACGCCATTGGCTTGCTGTTTGGCGTCTGGTCCAGGCATGTCAAGGAAAAAGCTCACTTACATTGATCATGACAGTCTTCTGGCCCATATTGCGCAGAGACAGCGTTGCGTTAACAGCGCACCAATCGAATTCGACCGAAGACCCTATCCGGTAGACTCCAGATCCAAGAATGATGGTTCCGTTGTCTTCAAAGGCGACGTCGTGAGATGATGCATTGTACGTTGTGTACAAGTAGTTGGTATCGGCGGGAAACTCGGCTGCAAGCGTATCGATCTTCTTCACCCATGGTCGAATACCGAATTTCTGTCGACGGGCTCGGACTTCTCCTTCAGTAGATTTGACGTACATGGCGATTTGCTTATCAGAAAAGCCTTGTTTCTTCGCCTTCAACAGCAGCTCGTGCTTGATGCCGTTAAGAGAACCAATCTCTTGGATCTCCGTCATTGTGTCTTTGAGGTTCTGCAGCTTGTAGAGGAACCACTTGTCAATTTTGGTCAGGTCATGAATCTTGTCCACTGAATAGTTCTCGTGGATCATGGCTTGCCCGACAGCCAGCCACCTTCGGTCGGTAGGGTTGCGAAGAACATCATCGAGATCGTCGAATTTGTCACCCTGGAATCCCACATACCGGGGATCGACTTGTCGAATGGCTTTCTGGAAGGATTCTTCAAATGTGCGACCGATGGCCATGACTTCTCCCACGGATTTCATGGCACTGCCAATGTCACGCTTCACGTGTTGGAACTTTGACAGATCCCAGCGAGGGATCTTGACGACGATATAATCCAAGCTCGGCTCGAAGTTGGCGGTGGTCGTCTTGGTTACGGCGTTGGGCAGTTCGGGAAGGGTGTGGCCCAGACCGATTTTTGCAGCTGTATACGCCAAAGGATAGCCGGTTGCCTTGGATGCGAGCGCCGATGATCGGGAAAGACGAGCATTTACTTCAATAACGCGGTAGTCGAGACCGTCGGGTTGCAGTGCGTATTGAACATTGCATTCACCGACCACCCCCAAATGACGGACGATTTTGATCGCCGCTGTCCGCAGCATGTGGTACTCCTCATCACTCAGGGTCTGGCTAGGCGCGACGACAATGCTGTCTCCGGTATGAATGCCCAGGGGGTCAAAGTTCTCCATATTGCAGACAGTAATACAATTGTCCTCGGCATCGCGGACCACTTCGTACTCAACTTCTTTCCAGCCTTTCAGGGACTTCTCGACCAAGATCTGGGGCGACAGAGAGAGAGATCGAGATGACAGGTTGCTGAGCTCCTCGGGGTTGTTGGCAAAACCTGATCCCAGGCCACCAAGTGCGTAGGCTGAGCGGACGATGATCGGGTACCCAACTTTTTGAGCGGCGTCAAGAGCTTCCTCGACGGTTCCAACAGCGATGGACTCAGCAATGGGAATATTGATCTCGTTGAGGGCTTTTGCAAACAGGTCCCGATCTTCGCTGGTCTCGAGGGTCTTGATGCTTGTGCCCAGCACCTTGACGCCATAGCGGTCAAATATACCCATCTTATTCATTTTGACACCCAGATTGAGGCCGGTCTGGCCTCCAAACGTCAGCAGAATGCCATCCGGCTTCTCTCTCTCAATGACATATGTCACATATTCGGGGGTGACTGGAAGGTAGTAGACCTCGTCGGCGAGCTTGTGATCGGTTTGTATGGTCGCAATGTTAGGATTAATGAGGATGGACTTGACGCCGGCTTCTTTGAGAGCTTTCAACGCTTGTGACCCTATTGCAGCTGTGAGCGTGTGATCCAAGACTGCTGCCACCACATGCCACCTCGCTTGGAAGAATTTTGCAATGGACTGAGTCATAACCGTCTGCCCTTTGCGACGACGTACCAGAATAGTCAAACTCTCCTGCCTGTCCTATACTCAAACCACCGCTGCCAATGACTATGACCTTCTTGACGTCGACCAGGTTCTTCCCATAGTCAATAGCACCACTTTCCAGGTAGGCCTCGGGGCGAGGGGCCTCTTGTACCAGAGCACGACGTTTTGTGGACCTTGTGAATCTCTTGACTTGCTGCCACGAGGGTGTTTTTGGGTTTACCAGGTGTTGTCGGACAGCGAGAGAGGGTGTTCGAGTAGAGAATGACCGTGCAGAGAGTCGGGGGACAGGTGCGCAGTCGCGCAGCAAAAGGCTGCTGGCCTGGCGAAGAGCTCGCGTGGTCGCCGCCATTACGGTCGAGCCAGTTGACCGGATTGCTGTTGGCAGGAGAGGAGGAACGAGTGTTCCACTCGATCGCTGCACAAAACCAGCTCAGGAGAGTGTTGTTTTGGTTGAGAGGTCTAAAGCAGTCACCGTGAACAGAATTGTTCAAGAAGATGAAGCTCGACTCACACGCCCCAAACACTGCCTGGGGGAGGTAAAAAAAAGTGCGGCTGGCCGCGAGACTTTCAGATTGCGGGATCCAATCGATAAGCTGCAGCCAAAGCAATCTGGGTCCTCAGACGTCAGTGGGGGATCAAGAGATAACAGTTTTTTCTCTCTCCCTGCTTGTCTGCTTCTTCGATCTCCCTCTCTGGAGCTATACAAAACACAGACTACTGAGGTGAATGTGTGAGGTCTGCTTTACTACAAGAAAATACTGAACTAGTAGGTCTCATCAAGCGCCCAAGATCCATCTTTCACCCTCCGCCTAGCCATTCGATCTACGCAGCCGCCTTGAAAAATTTCTCCCTGTTGCGTGAACAAGTCGGTTTTTTTTTTTTTCCTTCGCCCTGGTCAACCTTAGATCACCATGAAAATTTTAGTCTGGGGAAAGAAGAGGCGTTGGATGCGGCAGAATTGGGAAAGGCTGCAGACAAGGTGCATGTTTCTAAACTCTTCTTGGTCACCGCCTTCACATCGTCCACCAAAGGAATCCAACTTTTTTGCAGCCACTTGGTCCTACCATCACTTCACTCGCCTTTGTGCCTCCGCCCCTCTTTCGCTCATCTGCCAACCATACCCGATCTTCTCGCAATGGTACCGCTATTAAAAATTCTTTTCCTTGCGTCATTTGATCTGTGCTGCATGTGGTAAGACACAGACGGCGGATCTGGCTAGAAAAAACTACTTTTTCGTTCCGCTTGATCTACGGATTGTCTATTCTCAGAATGCCAAAATTTTCCCATGCATTCCTCGCATTCAGTCGTTTAGTTTGGTATAGTTGGCAGGGAATAGTCCAGTGTGCCCGTTGTACTCGCCTTGCCACCAGTCTTCATCAGGGAACGACTAAACGGGTCCGTCGTCAGTAGGGGCTCAAGTGGACACTCGTGTCAAGCCGACACTTACCACGTTCATGATGATTGCGTTCTCGGGGAATGACAATTCGTTGTCCTCCCCAGCCTCGTAGTCGTAGAGCGCGGTCGCTGTCACCCCTTTAGCCTCAGCAGCTGCCGGCGCTGGTGCGGGAGGAATCGGTTCTGCCGCAGGGGCAGCAGCAGGAGCACCGCCAGCATCGTCATCCAGGAGTGTGAGATAATTGCTGGGTACTAGGCCCGTCTGAATCTTCATCAGTATCACTGGTACTCTTCCTTGGAAGAGCCGACTTACTTGTCCTGCCTCATTCTTGACAAACCACCAGTCTGGGTCGATTTTTTGAATGTCCGTCACCAGTTCACCTAGAATGGTCAGCAACGATTCTGTCTCTCGGAACACAAAAAGATAATACCTTCACGCAGTGATACTTCGTTATCCTCAGCTGCCTCGTAGTCATACTCGGCCCGAGCGCGTTCACCCCCAGCTGCAGGATCGGGGGCTGGAGCAGACTGTACAGCCTCGGCGCCTAGCGTGGTGGCTGCCGCAGTCACTGCCGCTGTTCTGCCCAAGTCGGGACCTCGGGCTGGTTCATCATCTTCTTCTCTTGCCACGGGTGGAGGGATGGCCCGCGCCATGGAGGTTGCTGGCAGCACGGCTGGAGGGGACAGTTGCTCCTCGTGCGCGTCAGTAACCGCCGCTGAGGCGCTGACTGGCATGGCGATCCGAATAGGAGAGCCACGAGACAGCTCTGGCTCTTCGTCGGGGGTGGGACTTCGTGGTTGTGCAGGTGGTGTCGGTAGCGCTGGTGCAGACTCTTCCTCTTCCTCCCTAGGTTGCGACGGGGTAAAGCCTGGGATTGGAATGCCACGGTTGGGTTTGCTGCTTGTATCGGGCTCCGGAGCAGGGGGTGGTGTTCGGTCAAACGATGCTGGAGCTCCCATTGGAGGCGCTCCACTAAAGCGATCTCGAATCGAGCTGATTCCGCCGATTGCAGAGGTTGGAGCCTCTTCTTCCTCGACCGGTTTCATAGCCTCGCCCGTCACTTGTTGACCAAGGCTGCTGCGGCCAGTATGCGTAGTTTGCACAGGCGCCCAAGTCTTGCCTGTATAGCCACTTTTCCAGCCGCTATCTCCACTCTTCTGGGCGACGACCGGGGACTGTCCGCCATAACCAGAAGGCGACACTGGGGGTTCACCAGAGCCGCTCATACCTCTCTCACGAGCCTTTTTCTCAGCCCACAACTGGGCTGGCGTTTTCCCACCTTGATCTGCGAATGTTCTACTCGCCGTCCCCACGGGAGCAGCTGGTGCCACAGGTTTGGCCTCGAAACCACCGGGAACAGGTGCTTTGGTCCCAGTGAAAGTTGAGCCACCACCAAACTTGTTGGCCACTTTAGGTTTTGGAAGAGAGGTCAGACGTTCAGGCCCTTGCGAAAAGGCCGCTGATCTCTCTGCCAGTGAACGAGTGGGTATTTCTGATTCTTCCGAAGGTCCAGTCGACAGGCTCGACACAGGAGGCGGTCGCGAAAAGCCGGTTGAGTCTTCAGGTTTCTGCGCTTTGGCACGAATGGCTGCAATGTCAACCTTGCCGATCGGCTCGTATGCACCCTTCACGGGTTCCGGCCTGTCGTCTTTCAAGTTGCCTGATTCTTTAGCCTGACGTCGGATCGCCGCAATGTCAACCTTCCCAATGGGCTGGTATGCACCTCTGACCACTTCAGGCCGATCGTCCCCTTGACTGCTAGTGAAGGGCGATGGAGCAGGCTTTTGTGAAGTCAGGTCTCTCATGTTGACCTTTGTAGGCTGATAGGCTGGCGCTACTTTTTCCAGCTGAGTTCTTGTGACCGGAGGAGCGTCCGCACCCCAACCATCCTCATCCAAAGCAGCATCTCTCTTGGGCAGATTGCGCGCTACAGGGTTATAGCCAGCTGAAACCCCGGTACTCTGGGTAGGCGTGAAGACAGGTTTTGAGGCAATTGTCGGCTTGGTTGCCGCAACTGGTGGGGGAGCTGCCGCAGTAGAGGTGCTAGAAGAGTATTTCGAGCCTGAGGCATCGGCGACTTTCTGGATGATACTCTCTGGAGTGAGGTCACGATCTGATCTCGCCGTGATTTGGACGTGGTAACCATGCAGCAATTTGGCGACCGTGGTCAGGTGGCTAGTAAAATAACCTTTGGTTCGTTCAGGGACACCTTCACCACACCACGCAACAAGGGCACTTTTAGGGAGACCTGTGTTGGAGTCCTTGACCTTGACGAAAGCAAATTGAATGCGGCCATCGGAGAATTCGTCAATCAAATCAACAAGCTCGCCTTCTCCCGTGCTTTGTACCTTCAAAACGCTCTCTTTATTGCCCGAGTCCTGCTGAAAAGCATTCGCGAGCGGAGCCGAGACTGAGAAGACGGCCCATTGTCCGTAAGTAGGGGAGGCTGCGGCGGCACCGGTTGGAGGAGGAGCATTGACAATTGACTGATAGCTCTTGGAGATAGATGGGCCGTTCGTCGAGGTGTTGAGAGAAGCCATGGCTACCCAGAAAAGGTCGGAGAGTCAATATGGTCCAAATAGACCAGGCTGCTCTTGGGCGTCTGCCTCCTCGTCTTTTGGGAGAGGAACTGCGTGCTGCCTGGGCGATCTAATCAGGATATCAAAGAAAGACGCTTGCAGTAGATTTTGCGGAGGGTATAGGATTCAGTAGTGAGAAGCGTGGACAGCAACGATGAAGAATGAAAAGGCAGCTTACTCTGCCTGGTGGCTTAGTGCCATTGGAAGTTGGAGTACGAGGTGCTGGAAGCAACAGGGTCCCTCAGCTTCGCAGTTCTGATGATGGCATATGCCAAGCCCCTAAAGCCGAAGACCATCATGTGACCAAGCTCAACCACTGCAAGCACTGGCACCCCGGGGACCACAGGCTGCACTTTCCCTTCCTTCTTACCTTCGCAACTGCGCCCTCTTTCCATCCCCACCGCAATCGTTTACAGCGCCCAGGTTAGACGCAGCAACAAGGGATCATTGATGCTCATTGACCTGCATCTAGGATCGCCTTGTACATTCCGACTTGACCTCTACAGCCGACTCGCGCTGCCACGCAACGCCACTGACCGGCTCGACCTTGCGTGTTCCTGATCCAGTCCGAATATCCTCCCAACCACACCCGCCACGGACGCCCACGGTTTTGGTCGATGAAAAGCGTGTCTGGAGATTGAACAGTTCCGGTTGCTATTACAAGCAGATACCCAGGATTCGTCGATCTCTGTCGTGCCGACAACTTCAGAATTGGCAAGGAAAAGGTTCTGGCAAAACGAGTCCCGTGAAACCGTGCTCCTTACGACCACACCACCATTGCTGCCTGTTGTTCGAGCAAAGCAATTGCTCTGCTCGAAATGTTTTTCTTTCTCTCTTCATCAGAACCAGACTGGCTAGCACACTTGGCTACCGGCTCCTGGCGCTGATATTTTCGTTTCTCAAACAGGTTTCGACTGTTGAGCATTTCCTATTTTACTTTCTGCAAATGGTCTCCATAGCTGTGTGACATGGAATTCAACGATGGATCAACTTTCGCTCCTTGGAAAGGCTCGCGAAAGAGACCCAGGTCTCCCGACCTTGCAGACCGTTCTGCCCACGAGTTGGACTACAGACCCGTGGCTATGGAGCGTCCCACAACAGCCGTTTCCTTTGGCGTCGACACGGAGCGGAGTAAACGGCGAAAGCACTCTATCAGCACGCAGAGTCTCAGCTCTCCTGCACCCCCAAAGCGAGCCCCTATCCGCCGGCCCTCTATGCTGGTGGACCTACCTGGCGAAGTTCTGCAGCACATTTTCACTTTTGTTGATCCCATTTCTCTTGGACGGTTGATCCGTGTCAACCGCTGCTTTCGTTCTCTCCTTGATCCCGCATGTCTACTGCCACAAAAGTCTGCATCTAGCCTGTCCATGCGTTTGACCATGCGCAGTCAGGACCTTGTTTGGGCCGCATCACGAAGATCGTTCCTTCCAGGTTTCCCAAAGCCAATGGACAAAATGACAGAGCTGGAAGTGTGGAGACTTGTTCGAGGCCGCACATGCCAATTCTGTGGAAAGAAAACAACTCACAATCAACCCCTGTCGATGTCTGAACTCTGGGATTCCGGGCCTGGATTAGATGGTGTTCGGCCTATCTGGCCATTTAGAGTCAGGACTTGTGGCCGTTGTCTGCAACCCAGGCTGATAAAGGTAAGATCCTTGCTCTGAACCCAGTGCAGTGTCTGATCTCCAGTAGGATGCAGAATTGATTGTCTCTACTTATTCGGCACTAAGGCCCGCTTTGCCTTTCGCGATCTTGACACAAGAGTTGAATTATATTCCATCCACGGTAATCCCGCAGAGGCCACCACCCCCTCATCTGGAACTGGTCAAATACTACTTCAGGCCTCAGTTCGAAGCACTTCAATCCGAGTTCCATGACATAAAGGCTTTAGGTGCTGCTGCGGTCGCCGAATGGTATAAAGGCCTCGAGACTCTGGGTCAAAGAAGTAACGCCGACGCTGCGCGCTTTGAGCAATGGGAACTCCAAGGTGGATATTCCAGGTTGCCAATTGCCAGAAGCCCCAGCGGAAACGGTGTCGATACTTCGTTGATGAGTCTTACGAATCATGCAGACCCTATGCAAACATTCGACAACGTGCAACAACCATCTGCGCATTCTGCCGACGGAACACCCTCTTCTGGCAACGTGGTTTCAGGACTCTCCACTCCCGGCACCCTCGAAGGTAAGCGATTATTTGATTTGGTTTTTTGATACTCGGGATTGTCTCATTCTCTCTCCAGTCGTAGTAGCTTCTGGATGCTCTCGTCCGCAGCAGAACTAATAGTGATCCCGTGCAGATTCTAGACACCCTGCAGCTCAAATACAGTCATGGCCTCTTCCACACTTTCCTGTTGCGCCAGGACAGCAGCCCCTCACATCCATCAGCCCTCTTGGTCCTTCATCGCCATCTGGCCAAATTCCAGGGCGTCCCCCGCGCCAAAAGACTGAACGTAGTCTGAAAGAGGCAACAAAGACAAGGGCTGAACGCCGCAAAGATATTGAGAGACGCTGCCTCGCCCTCGAGCCCCCTATAATGCCGTCAACGTTGGTGCATATGGATGCGTTTCAGGCGGCGATCTTGATTTCACGCCCACTCGACGATAAGGCCTGGGAGATATTGAGACCGCGTCTTCTTGCACAACGTGCAGACGCTGAACATCGAGAGAGCAAAATTTCACTTAGCGATCCTACAATACAACTCCAAAAGCGCCAGCAACTGGAGGAAGAGCAGCGCGTGGCACAGGCAAATGCAAGCCACATGTGGATCGAACTGAAGGTCCCTCCAAGAGATAAATTACAGAAATATGCGCAAGATTTTATACATCTGACATGGTCGGATGGTACTGCGGTGACCAAGGCAACTGCAAGCAAGTTCGCTGCGGAGGTTCTTTGTCATGTGCGACAGCGCTTCGACGAGGTGGTTGCTCAAGAAGATCGAATGCTCCAACTCAAAGGAACCGCCTTTCCCCAAGACGAGGCGTCCCTTGCCTGCAGGAAATTAAAACTTGAGGACATGAAATGGGTCTACGAAGAATTTGTGAAGCCTCACGCGGAAAGATTCGGAAAAGAACTTTTTCTCTGCCACGTGTGTGATACCACACAAAAGCTCTTCGCATTCGAAGCAGTCATCCAGCACTTTGCTGCGAAGCATACGAGCTCTCTCAGCAGCGGCAACAGCATCGTGTACTGGAAAGCCGAATGGCCCCTGGAACCCCCCTTCGATCCACATCCGAACATTCCCTGGGCTCTCCAGGCTGCAGGCAGTATGGCTAGCACACAACCACCTCAGCAAGCTCGCCTGGGCTTGCCTCCTCGCGGCCCGCCATCATCGGTTGAGGGCGGGCTTGGAGGTCCATACAATGTTCCGCAGCCTATTTCATCATCACAGTGGTTTGCCGACCCATTACAACATGTTGATCCGAACAGTTCTTCGAGCGTATTGAGAACGGACTCGCTCAATACCGGGCGTCTCCCTCCAAGGCTTGAAAGAGGACGTCTCCGTGGTAGCGTCGCCGGCTCTTCGATTGCCAGATCTGAGACCTCCGGATATACCAATGAAGATGAATACGGGCCTCGTTATCAGCCCTATAAATTCGCCCGCCCGAACGCTCCTATCGTTCAATACTACCAAGGGTCACATGCTGGTGCTAAAATTGGCGACGAGATGGATAGGAGCCATTCAGGCAAATCCGCACCTCGACGTGAAGAACACCCTCATCTTTTCGAGACCGGACGTGGCTGGGAAGTCTGGAAGCGACCAGGGCCGATTTCCCACGGCTCCATGATATATTCGTACGGAGACAGCTCTTCGAGGTTCTCGTACGGAGAGTCTGTACAAAGAGATGGCGGGACCTCGGTCGACGGAACATCTGAGACTGGTGGTAGCAAGACTACCAGCCACATCTCTTTGCGGCGGGAATTGGCTTCGGAGTCAAGAGCGCCAACCAGCGACCTCGAGTCATCGAGAGAGGAAGCCCATCAAGCTGCAACCCATGCAGCTGTAGAGAATTTTCTCAACAACTTCAGTCCTCTGGTTGGTGATGCGGGCACGGATAGTGTGAGAGACGTTGGCACGATAACGCGACCGACTGACTTGGAGCAACCACACAGTATACCGGGACTGCATCCGATTGATGCGTATCCTCAGCAGGGTGAGACCTGGGAGAGCTTGGGCAACCGCACCAGGGGCCATATCTCTCCTCCTACTCGACAAAGACCTGCTCCACCCCTCAGAGAGCTTGAACGACCGCCTGTGTGGGCTGACAACCCTCCAGCACAGCTCCGCTATAGCCCTTCGATGCCACCAGATCGTGACCCGGAGATTGCTCGGGAGCTGGCTTATGATGATAGATACAGGGAGCTTCCCGGACGAGCACTCCAAGCCCGCTACGACCGCCAATTTGAGGATATGCGGGACCTCGTCCCCGCATATCCAGTGCCTCCTTACGAACCTCAGTATTTCTACAGTCACGACGGAAGACGATATGTAGAAGTAAGGGAACAGAATGCGGAGAGGTATGCACCTCGAGCCAACGACTTTCCCGAACGATATCACAACCCCACGGATAGTTCTGGCTCGCGTTATTTGGACAGCAGGCGATACGTTCCAGAACGACAAGTTGAACACGACAATCGTATGCATGGTCCATTGAGAGAATACGAACTTGGCGATAACGATTACCGCGCTGCTCAGAATATGGGACCGTCGTGGGGGTATGATAGCCGCCACCCTCACGAGCAGGCTACTCTTGAGCCACATCCACGGAGTGCAAGAACCAACACTCGAGAGACCACATATGAGCCGATCGAGCAACCAATGAGATACACGCCGCGATCCTTTGGCGCAGAGCGCCCTGGTGAATGATCGCTTTTTGCTCGAAGGAGCTGGATCGGGATCCCGCGATTCCAATGGAAGTAAATTGGAGGTGAAGCTGATGGATTTTCTTCTGGTCTTGTAACTTTCTTTTCGATTTATTTGCTCGGAGCATTGTCTGGGAGTGAGTGAAACATATTGCATGGCACCGTCTGGGTCGGCATGTGTGCTGTTTTCTTTGTTGTTTCGAAGAGATACCCCCTCCATGTTTGTTTCAATGCCGAAATGTTTTGATGCCCTTTATTTACAATATTGCCAAAAGGAAAATTATATATTCGATGACCACCAGGTATTGATGAGGGAACCGATCAAGTCCCCTTTCCACCAGCTAGTCAAAAATTTTTTTGCTGCTTTCGGGGAAGAATGTGAACGGCACGGATTTCTGTGTGCCCTCTACTTTTGGCATCATGCACACTCACGCAATATTTCCTGGAGCCTGAACGCAACATCAGGCTAGCACGTGGGCTGGCAGCTTTGCATCATACGAGTCTGGGACGGTCTGTGTTGAGGCGGAGGCCTAGCGCACAACCCATGTCTATACCTATGCGTGCATGCCCAACGTGAGGCGGGCTCCCCACCCTACCATGTGACTATTTTTCTGAAATCCTATATCTGCGACTATATCCGATCTCGATGGCGATGAGTTTGATCGGAAGAGCAGAACTGGGCGAGTTGTAGCAGTCACCCAATAAGTGTTCACGCAGGACTTTGTGGAGCTCAGCCGTTGTTGGGGACTTTTCTGCCTTCGTGCGATTATTACTTTGGACCACCTGTCAGGATTTCGTCAACGTCACAGGCCGTCGAAGCCAGGATTCTGGGGCTGTACGAGGACTCGTAGGAGGTGCTACAGCGCTTATGCACGGGGTGAACGGACTCAGCAAAGGTATTTCCCGTTAGTGAGGCTTGAGATTCGGATTGATGGCCCACCGCCGTTGTCGATGCCCGTGATTGGCGAAGCGGGTGCGTCATGGCCCCTTCATGTGATACAGCGCCTCTTGCCGCTGGTTGGTGACCGTCACACTTCATGGGAAATGAAGCAGACGCCGGTGCTCCTCGTCTTTGCCGACTTCACGGTGATGAACTCGAAGAGGCTGGGATGCGGCAGTTAAATTGAGATTGCTGGGTGTTCTTACTGCCACTGCCACGAGAGCGCGAGGAGATGGTGGTGGTGGGCCGTCTTCACCGCGACTTCGGGACCTGCGGGAAAAGCAACAGTGATTGAGAGGGTTCGGGTCGGCCGTGCTTCGTGTCTTTTTTTGGCCCATACAGGTGGGCTACGTATGGGCTAGGAGGAAATCAAGAGGGTCAACAGATGTCGAGTCAAGAACCCTGATGGTGATGCGAGACGGTGACAATTCAGATGGCAAATTTGTTTGGTGGCTGTCAACATGTCTGGCGTGGCTTGGGCATGGTGGGCATGGTGGGCGAAACTGCACTGTGGAAAATAAGGCGGGCAAGGCATATTCAAGCCCATTTGAAAGCATACCAGAGTAACGGTTCAGATGAAGCTGATGGCTTGCAGGTATTAGGCGAGAGATGGTCTGCAGACTAAGCGAGGGTCAAGAGGTGGTGAAGAGAATGATGCAAGTAGTCAGAGAGACGGGTGATGAAGGGAGGAGGGAGAAAATCTCGAGCGGACATTATTGTTGGCTTTGTTTGTTCGAGGCCACCAGGCTGAGTATCCCTCCGCAAGACTTCCTTGAGGCCCAAGGCACCTTAGGTACATACTCGTAGGTATCTACGAGTACCTCGAACGAGTAAAGGTACTCGGTAGGTTATCTAGCTACGCTGAACATACTCGCGCAGTACCTACTTGTATGTACCTACAGTAGGCAGGTAGGTGATACACGTAGTGGACAGATGGGCAGCCACACGGCTTTACGTGATGGGCATTCCACAGGCAAGGCGGCCCCCAAGTGAGTCAGTGACAGTATGTAGGTGTGTAGGACGAGGAACAGGCACCCGAAAGACACCCATAAGCCACTAGGCAAACCCACCGACTCAGGCTAGTAGGAGGCTAGCCCTAGCAACCCGAAGAGCTCACGTTGCTGTTTTCCTTGCCCCCCCCATCGGCTTGCTCGCATTCCCACCTTGCCGTCACCCTCTCTCTCCACCCCACCAAATACCTAGGTACTGCCCGGCTACGCAGCAGCCACTGCTACTGCTGGCTGTGATGCTGCTTTCTTCTGGCTGGTCTCTCCACCTTCACCATCTTGTCTATCCCAACCGTAATCCATCCAACCATCATCGACGTCTCTTTCATCCACCAACTATCCATCGTCTTTCAACCTTGTCCATCCTCTTGTCGTGTTGGCACCTGCAGCGCGCCCCTTAACTATTCTACTATAGGATTCTTAATAAGTCTCAACAGCTATCCGAACTTCATCCAATCGTCGCCCACTCCCATCGGCAAAACAACAACAATCATTCGTCCCACTATCTGTCTGCTCCCGCACGCCTCGCCTCGCGCATTGCATACCACTGTATGTCTCAATCTGGTTCTACACTTTCTCGGTCCATTAGATGTCCCCGTCCTAGGATATCGATACTAGCCTGTAAATGCTAGTATCGCTAATGAGCCCCGTTCCCAGCGCACTGACCGATGGACTGACCAAACAATCTAGACCTGCAGCAACCACGCCGACCCAAGCATCTCATCTGCAGCTGTCCGTCCCGGCCTTCGAGTCGCGCAGCAGCACCACAAACCATACCAGTCGCCAGTCGCATACCATCCATCACCGCGCAGCCACCGCACGGCGCACTCTCTCGCGTGCCACATCGCCTTGCATCACGATCCTGCTGGCTGGGTTCCCAAAGGTTCCAGCGATCGGGTCTCGCTTCAGCTGCGACTAGATCCTCTTGCCTTTCGAAAGTCCGTCATTTGTGCGTGCCCGTGGTAGACCGCCTCACATCCCACCACAACCATTCGACGCTTCTTCCGAAAAGTCCCAAGTCTCAAAATTGACGGTTTCGCCTGCACGACAACGCATCCCCCATCCTAAATCGTCCCCCGGTTCCCCGTCAGCCCTGGGAAACGTGCCGACTGGTAATCATTTTGGGCACAAACAAAGCAGGAGAAGGGATCGTCTGACCTCTTGCGCCGGAAGTGACGCAGGCCAGCATTAGACATCCTGCACTGGTGTCGCCCCAGTGTGACGTGGTCATCAACGCCAGCCAGACAATCTTCGCCTTGCAATTCGGCCGCTGCGGCTATCCTCCAGAGTACAGGACTACATCATGTCGGCCTCCCCACCCAAGGAACCCGATGTCGAACAGAACGCACATTCTGGTGAAGAGCAGGATCATATGGATCGCGAACAAGAAGGAGCTCAAGGTGCCGGTTTGGACTTTGAAGTCAAGGAACAGGATCGATGGCTTCCCATCGCCAATGGTGGGTGAAGAATTCTGTCTTTCTTTTTGTCTTGATGTTTTGCAGGTCATACACACACTTTTCTCTCACTGGAGGGAAGGCACCGTGTCACCAGACGCACAGTCTTTGGAGTGTTGGCATTTGATTTGTTCGACCCTTGGGTAACCAGCCATGCATCTTTGCGCGCGCCAGCAACGTTGCTTCTGGGCTCTGTGCGAATCCGAATGTGCGACGCTGCAGCTGCTCTTTAGCCAGCACCGTCTCATTCGTTGCTGCTTCTCTCCTCCTCAAGCCATGATTTGCGTCCCAGCTCTCCTCAGCGCTGACTGGTGCGGCATCTGGACCACTCAGAGAGCGCTGTCAACGTCTCACTCGACACAACAAGATCCCCAAGATGCCTTCCAGTTCTTCTGAGCATGAACGCAAACCATTGTCATCCTCCTCCAAGCACCATGGCGGTCGATCAACATCGTCGTCGTCTTCCTCCATGTCAGCAATGTCAGATGCTAACATCCGAAACTTTGCACCAGTGGCCCGAATCATGAAGACTGCCTTGCCCGACAATGCCAAAATCGCCAAAGAAGCGAAAGAATGCATGCAAGAATGTGTGAGCGAGTTCATCTCATTCATCACCAGCGAAGGTATGTGAGCTTCCTGTTACTGAGAAATCATCGCTTGCCGTCCGTTCATGCCGGGGGAGCTTTGGCTAACGTTGCACAGCGTCCGAAAAGTGTCAACAGGAGAAGCGCAAGACGGTCAATGGGGAAGATATCCTGTTCGCCATGACTTCGTTGGGCTTCGAGAACTATGCAGAAGCACTCAAAATCTATCTCTCCAAGTATCGCGAAGTAAGTTTTGTGTCTTGTCCCCCTCCCTTCCGAATTCTCCTTCTCCTTTGTCAGCTCGACGAGGAAATCAATCTGAACAATTGAACTGATTGGGATGAGACCCAATCCACAAGGGGCGAGAACCAGAACAGACCTACCAGCAGTGGCGGGTATGGGGGTGGCGTCGGGCCCGGCAATGTCCAGGGCAATGCCGCGACAGGGCCCCCCGGCTACCCAGGGGGGCAACCCGACAATGCCACCGAACTATTGAATCAAGGGCATGGCATGAATGCAAACGATCACGACGCGGCCGGTCCATATGGTTATCCCAGCGCCGTGTCCAGCGGCCACAATGGCATCACCAGCGACAATTTCTGAGTCGGCAGGAGAGGACGTCCGCGCATGTCAAGGGCGCCGTGGGCCAACAGCGGACAGGAGTGCACTATCTGCCAGTTCCTCGGGCACCGCCAGATAGTCAGGCACGGTGGGGTGAGACGGACGGAGACGGCGATTACGGATGAAAGAAGGCACAGGGTTTTATTCGTTACCGAATATGCCAACTGTACATGAGTATCGGTGCTGAAAGACGGAAAGATATTGTAAGAAAAGGGCCGGGCTGTCTGACCATGGAAGAACACAGAATGCATTGAGGTTAACCAGGACTGATCGTTAACAAAGAGCCTGACGTGGGTGGATTGGGGGGTCAGGTAATGAGGAACGAGGGAGCTATGGAAAGGCTGTAGACTGGGTTGTTTAAAGAGATCGACAGGCGTGAACGAATGAATCATGTTTCG